GAACGCGAATTTAAATAAAATTCACACAAAATCCAGGCTCTTCCCGTGTGATAAAAAACACTGTTCATATGCCTGCGTACATTACAATATAAAGACAATAAAGAGATTTTCATAAGCGAGTAGGAAACATCCTATGAAAAACAGGTTCTTTTCTCTGCTCAAACTTTCATAAAAGGATAGTTTTTCTACCCACGTTGTTCGGCGCATGATAGTCGTTCGACTTCTCGGTTCTCTTTCCAGCACTTCCATTCCAGAAATGCCACCACCACGGTCTGTCACTTCCATAGCAGAGATACCAGCACCACGCGCCTCTCTACCAGAAGGTTCAGCAGAAATTCCAGAATATTCTGGGCCCATTTCACTTTCTCTTGGTTGTTCGTAATGATTTAGAGGGACCTAAATTCGCAGTATACAACATTGTCAAGAAGTTAAAATCCTTAAATTCTACGACAAATAGAGCAATATGTGATGAATATGAATTTCTTCTTTTTATAGGAAAAAAAGAGATAATACAAAAGCTTTGCCTTATTTTTGCATGCTTTCTCGTCTAAGTATCCATAGATCGGAAAAAACCTTCCCGCTGAATATTATAAGAACCACCAAAAAGGTAAACTACCCTCTTATTTCACTCACAGTATCATGATTACGTACGCCTGTAACTTTTTGCGGAATTCCTCGTTTCCTGCGATCAGCTTGCTTAACGCCCCAACATATAGTGAATACACCAATAATCGCGAAAAGTATACCCATAGCTACGGCCATCCAAAACAGCCATGTAAGAATGTTGTCTTTGGCTCTAAAAAGATGAGAAAGATATTTTTTTGCATAATTTAATGTAATAAAAAGGGAGGAAACTTATGGTCTACCTATGCCTGCACCACGGTTGCTCACCCTGTGTCCATTGCATACGCCATGTCACACCATCTTCGTTTCGAATTCTTCGACCTGAAAGTTATCCCAATGAAAAAGTAAGTAATATTGGTAAATTATTATCATCGTTCTGAGCAGATGCATTAGGTTGGAAGCAAACTGCTTGAAATTTTGGGCTCACGTGGCGTGAAAATTGTATTGAAAGTTGGCCGAGAACGATTCAAACACCTAGTCATACCGTTTATGCTCGAGAGGTTAGTTTATTATGTAAAAAGCCCTTCTAAAAAGAAAATCAAAGTCAAATAGC